TTCAAAAACTGTCACAGTTCAGGATTTTTAATTATTAATTTGCATGGATTCCAGCTTTAAAGGTTAGACCTGGGGTGTTCCTTGTAAGTGTGTCCAATGTACCAACACTGTATTGCACCAAATCATGGAATACTCTGCAGAACAGCGATTATGTGAACAGGTAAATATCTAAAACAACAGACCTCAAAGCTTCAATTAACCACCACAAATCTGACCTTTAACAGACAGCAATGTTTGCGGCATTGAAAACTATGAATTTGGCCACTCTGTAGTCTCCAATAAAGGTACATGAACATCTAGTGATCTTATTCTAAAGTAACTGCAAAAAGATTGTTTACTCATTAACCAGAACAAGTGCCTGTGAGGTTAAATTTGACCAAACAGGGTTAATTAGCTAATCAGGCCAGCGTCCCACAGCAGAATCCCTTAATCACATTGGGGATGTGAAATTTCATCCGTGCAGACGCGGCTTTGTGTGTAAATCTGCAAGAGCAGTTCTGGCTTTTCCGGGGTCAAATTCTCAAGGGCTCTATAAAATAGGGCCTTTGTTTTCCTAGCTGTATGATATGATCATGAGGAACTGGAGACTGTTGGTTTGGTCCTGGGGAGGGGTCGAAATGGGAGGGAGCACAAAGGCCGCCATGTTTAACCCGTTACACTTCTTAAACTACTTTACAATCTGCCTAATAACTATCCATGCACAGTAAAGTGTACCTGCCTTCCACAGGCTGCTCTTTGACCTGCAATTTGACCTCTTTAACAGAAGACAAGTTTATATCTATATGCTGACCTTGAATAATGTAGATGTAAGTATAAATACAGATGTAAATGTCATAATTCCCCACAGACACGCAGGTCCTCCATCATACAGAGACAGTCCAACAGTCTCACACCTCTTACACTCATCACTCAATGTCCTAGTTCCATCAATATTCGGAATGTAAAAACCTGGGCTAAAGAAATTATTGATGTTAACAAGCTGTTTTATTAGGTTTTGGTACTTCATTCTAACCAGCTGATTCCCTAATTATTCACAAACTAATCTGTATTAAAACAGCTAAAGAAAAAGTGGTTATAGTGTTTCTATTAGTTAAAACAGTTTAATGTACATATGTTTTTTTCTATAATGACTAAGTACAGACATTTGAGCAATATTTAATATAAAGCCAAGCCTTACATACATACACATGGTGCTGTAAGGCTGGGTAGAAAAATAACTTTTTTATAATATACTTGCACTTGCTGTTGAAGTATCAATTGTGCCGAGCAGGAAATGTGCATTTTTTTTGCTTGTCACTGTGGTGGAGCTGTTCATGAAGTGTTGTGTTAATGTACGCATTCCTTAAGTACCTACCGATAGCTTTAAAGGGTGACCTTAGTTTTAAAATAAACCCATAACCAACATCCCAGCCTTCCTCATCAAATTGTAAAAAAGAGCAACAAAAGTCAGATACAGAAAAGTCAGCATGGGCTCACTTGGCCTGGGGCTGGGTACTATTTGCATCTTCTAGGCCTGACCATAGAGAACAGAGCACATGATTAGATCAGATTACAGAAGGCCATTATCTCTAGGGTTGGGCCCAGCACATGAACATCTTTTTACTAGACTGTCAAAATGCTTTAGGATGCTACTGCTCCACTTTGTGCAGGCCTCGGTAGTGAGAACACCATCTTATTCTATGCTTTGTCCTATAGTGAGTTATGGTGTTGTCTTAAAAAATGCAGTTAAAGTTTATCTAAAGCCCAAACTTTCTTTTCAGTATGATATAATAAGAATGGTTAAAATCATTGTAGGGAAATGTATCCAAAGTGAAGGAAATGCCTTCTTAGACAGTTGTTATCGGAGCAAGTTCCCCACTGGAAGATTTCCCCCCCCGATTCCTGTTCTATTCATACATAAAAATATCTTTAAATTTATATATACGAGGGTTAATCCAAAATGAATGTCTCCATGTCTGTAATTTGATCTATTAAAGTGACTGTGATTGTTCGCTTACCATGTTATAGAGGTGTCCTTACCCCACTAATGTATGCTTTTCAGATTGAGTGATTAGAACCATGGATCTGTGGCTAAAACAAGCTATAATTGAATTTCTGGCGAAAGAGGGTTGCGCACCTAAGCAAATCCATAATCGGCTAAATAATGTTTATGGGGACGCTGTAGTGGACATTAGCAATGGGTGGCCTTGGGTGAAGACGTTTCAAGAAGGAGAAACTGAAATTCCACTACAGCGTCCCCATAAACATTCTTTAGCCGATTATAGATTTCCTTACGTGCGCAACCCTCTTTCGCCAGAAATTCAATTACAGCCACAGATCCATGATTCTAATCACCGAATCTGAATAAGAAAAGCATACATTAGTGGGGTAAGGACACCTCTATAACATCATACATGAACATTCACAGACACTCTCATAGATCATATTACAGACATGGAGACATTACTTTTTGATTGACCCTTGTACATTAAGCTTTACAAAAGTGTTTAATGTTGCTCAATGACAGCAAGCAAATATTGGACATTTTCTGCTTCAAAGGTAGTACAGCCATAACAGAACTACTGTACACAATACTTTTGTAAGAAAGATGAACAGTGTAAATGGACATGTCGCTACCTTCAGATAATCTTCATGGACCAGCTTTTATCCTATTATTATACATGTTCCAGATTGCTATAATTTTTTTTATAGATATTTATAGATATATAATCTAATTGTAATTATATATTGTGCTTTCTGTGTCTACTAGAATTAGAGTCTAAAGATGAATGTCTCTGTTTGTTTTGTAATATAGGCAATTTTTGTGTATCCCAGGACCTGCTACCCACTGCATTACTTTTTCTTTTTAATAGTCTTAAATTATTAGATTAGAAATCCCTTATTACAAATTTCTCAGCTGCACTTTTTATAGAGAAGCCAATATAGATCACCTGAGATCTGAAGTAATTATACAAATTTTAAGGAATAGTCAAAATTCTGAGACATCTTCACTTCTGCTGCCTACAAACCAAGTCAGAATGTTGCTATTCATTTAGCAGTAATCTGTGCCACCCTATCTTCATTTTATTTACAGAATTATTGCAGTGTTCTGTTACTAAACATATTTCCAACCCCAAATATACAAGTATGTAGACACCATTAGGCACTTAATCTCATTTTTGTTGTCAAAGGCACTGGGAGGTGGAAGTTCCGTGCCTGATGTCAATTCTGTTGTGCTTCAGGTTCCTATGGTAAGAAAAAAATAAAAAGTAAATCAAATGTATATAAGATTAAACATTCAACATTCCAGAAAATCTTAACTTTTTATTTTTCATATCTTTATCTTGAGTACGTTTATGCACAGTTAAAGGGATGACAAATCAGAAGAACAGAGTAGATACGATATTTACATAAATAAGATACAATTACACAATATAAGAAAGAAAAAGACAGACATTGAAAACAAATCCTTCTGTAGCTGAATAGACTGATGGAGGAAGGGACGATTTTTGTTATACACTAGGATTTATCTGGGCATAGGACAAAGTATCAAAAACTTAATTCCAAATAGTTTAAGAAAATCGTGTCCAAAAACACTTATTCCCAAATGGGTTACGGGATTTACATTCCTCTTTGTATCATAAACCCAAAACTGAAACAAAAAACTGGTAAAAAACCAGTCTATCGAGACATTATTTGGTATAAAAGCACCTGCCTCGTCACACCTGTGAAAAACAAAAATATATATTTAGATATATATTTTTATATTTACATATTGCCTTTTACTGCTTCCATTTTTTCATCCTGATAAACATACTTCATAGTATCTTGTTAGGAGAAATGTCAGTAGATAGTTTTGTGTGAAAGGGAACCAGAAATGGCTCCCACCAGGATTGTGTGAACTTTGTATATCCTATGAATACACGAGCAGCCACTGCACCGTGTGATGGCTTTTGCATTATGTTAGTCAACTTGTTTTGACATATAGTTAGGACGTACTTTCTTAAAAATTACTTTTATTTTGTCTAAATTTTTGCTTTTATACAAGCTCACACTATTCATGAGAAGTAGTTTTAAGGGCACTCTTGCTAGAGGGCTAAAAGTACTTTACATTTATAACCATTACCATTCTTAGCTATCACTGACATTTCTAAAACCTTTAAAAAATATGTAAACTTCCACACAAGATTCCTGACTGAAGACAGGAAGACATTTTAAACCTTTAAATGGTTTGTTACTTATTTAAAGGTATTGTACACCCTCCCTTTTGTAAGAGCCAACCCATTAACTTGATAAGTAAAACATTTTGAATAAGGAATAGGGTGCCTTATCTCATAGATAGTCAATCAAAAACAGTTATATTTTCCTATGAATTCCACCATTACCTATTCAAATGTGATTGAGGTTTATATTTACAGAATGGGTGGTGCACAACACCTTTACAAAAAGTAGAAAGCTGCTATATGTTTTACTGCAAAGGGACTGTGAAGTCCGAGGTTTACATATGCAAGGGTAATTATTTTGTCTTTCTTGACCTTTGCTTCCTTCAGTTAGAGTATTGTACCATCACTATATCTAAAGATTCAAACAGGAAAAACAATGTAGGGAATTGCCAGCAGGAAATACATTTGAAGGTATACAGTAGTTTTGTGACTTAATGACCAATTTTTCGGGGACATACAGGGGATTTTATCAAAATGCCGAACTCCATGACCTTAAAAATGCTGTGATTATGACATACTAAGTAAACTTCATATTAACAGGAAATCCCTGGAGTGCTGGCAATTCTCTGCAGTTTTGGCTCTTATCTGTGTTGCCTTCATGTATTGCCTGAGAACCCATCATACCAAGTTAGGTATGGTGTGCAGAATGGTTCTAAATTGTATTAAGCAAAAAATTATATTCTTGGTGTTGCCTGCTTGAAACCCTATGATGATTTCTGTGTAATTTTTCTTGTTATTATAATATATATATATATATAAAATTTCAGAATGCATGACATATCAGTATTTTTTTTGAAGAAATAAAAATGCCATCTTGTTTTTCAAGACTCTCATTATAGAGAAATGCACAGTACTGTGGATGAATATGTAAGCCAAATGTTGGCCATCTTACTGCACCCAACAGTAACTCCAGAGATTGGAGATGAATGTCTTCTTGTTTCATTGACCACTGCACAATGAGTGGATTACTACTGGAGTAGGAATCCCCTGCCTTCACTTGTTCTAGTTCTTCAGGATTATTAGGATGCAGCTTTGTTAGCTCACCATCCTTGCAGATAGGACTGGGAGGCATAAAAACAAGAACTGTATCAAATTTTCCATCATATGCTAATATCCATTTTTCATATGCTGTGGACAAGTGAATAGAAGGAATTAGTACTCTTCTGATTCCCAAGATGTTAGGTTGATTAATCTTGCTTGGACTATCCCTTATTTCAAACAGATTAGCAGCCCCAGTCAAATGGATAAAAAAAAAAAAGTCAAGCGGCATTCAGAGAGGAATTTACCTTCTGCAGCCAATGGCTGTACATAGTCAATTTTACCAGCCAATCTGGCACCTAAGATCAAAGCCACTACCAAGTCAGATGTTGCAGATTCCTCCCTAATATGGGAGACACTAGTTCATGATCAGTGTATAATTTTATTCCCTTCCCCCATCCCTGCATTGCCCTGCTATCCTACCCCACAATTTTTACACTGGAGTGTTATATTGTTTCATAGAAAAGACCCATTTTTCCCTGGTCTCCGTCTTTCCCAGGGGCCCGTAGAAACCGGCTACAGTTTCCTGGTGCTCTTGGAATCCGGATTCTACCTGGGATTTGAGCTGTGGGAGGACCCCGTCGGAGCACGTTGCTCTCCGAGAGATTCCCCTCCTTTGTCTGTTTCTCAGTAATTCTCATGGTCTTGACAGCGTAGTATACACTGGCTGTTCCCAATGTGTTGGGCTATGTGATGGAGCCACACCAGGAGGGTCAGAGATTGCAGTGTAAAGTGGACGCTGCGGAGGGCCCATATAGGAGAATGCTGAATAGAGGCCAGAGGCTTGACTTGAATGGCTGTAATAGGAACTTGATGGTTGATGGTCTGAGTAGTCAAACTGTGGCCTTGAGATAGAAGGAAATGCTGAACCATAGTGAGGCAGCCCCAGTGAGGTGTAGGTCAGCTGTGATGTTGAAGGCTGCTCTGTATAATGGCTTGTAGTTGAGCTTTCTGTCTTCACTTGAGCCTTTGAATCTGCCACAGTTGGAGCATGTTGCTTTGCAAGAGCCCAAGCAGAGGGGCCAGCAGCCAGAGCTCCACTGAGACCATAGCTGGAGGTATAACCCCCAATGTGGCTTGGGTGTGCAGCATGACCATTGGGTGGAAGGTACTGGTCAAACTCATTGACGTCAAATGTCTCCATGTTGGACATGACATCATGGCTTATTTCCCCAATATCTACATTGCCAAAATCAATGTGGGGTTTCCCTCCTTCTGCCAGAGACCGGGAGCCATCCCTCTTGCCCTCAGATTTTCCTGAATGAAGTTCTGTTTTTGGTGTTGTTGGTGGAGTGGGAGGACCGTGACTTTGACCTAAAATAATAAAACAAAGCTTTTGGTTACTCGGCTACTAAATAACAGTCAGAATTAAACGTATAGAACAAAAACCTAAAATAGCTCCTAGAAAATTCTAATTTTACATGCTCATTTTAAAATATTCAGACATGTTAAGTTGCACTTTACATTACCTGTTGAGTGCTCTGAATTCCCATCAGACATAGGGGAACCATGTCTATGGTCCAGATGTGAGTTTTTGTAGTGGGCTTGTATGGAGGCAGCACCTCCTTCAGCTTCTGAAGATCCATCTCCCTCTCCAGGAGTAGGCTTTCCATTCTTCCTTCTACGAGGCTGGTACTTATAATCTGGATGGTCCTTCTTGTGTTGCATTCTCAGTCTTTCTGCTTCTTCTATGAAGGGTCTCTTATCATTCTCATTGAGCAACCTGTAGAGAAAAATATATTTAGTAGTTATCAAGGAGTGTATGGGAGTGTATGAAGCTGGTGAATGGGGAATATCCGAACACTTTTATTCCTGAAGTTGTTTGAGTTTACTAGTTTCCTGGCAGTTATACTGATCCAAAGACTTTGTAAGTCACTCATCAAGAACAAGCATGCATATTCAAAATTCCTAGTTGCCTCTGACTTCAAGTATATCCATGCTTCGATTAGGTCTACAGGCAGCCAGACAACTGGAGGTCAGCAGTACCAGAACCATAGTTTTCTCAGTTCAGATTTCTTTAGCATAAGGACATAGCTACTAGCGTCAACACAGTCCTTGGGGCCCTACCTCTAATTTTACTCAAGAACAGTAACAAAATAATTCTTACTGCAATCCTGTTATAGTTTACACAATTCTCAGGTATGTATGTGCTATGCATAATTAGTTTAAATTCCATACCTCCAAAGCTTGCCCAATGTCTTGCTCAGCTCTGCATTGTGGAGATGCGGGTACTGGTCAGCCAACTTTCGGCGGGCAGCCTGTGCCCATACCATAAAAGCATTCATGGGTCGCTTCACATGAGGTTTGGACTTATTGCCACCATTGACCCTGACTGGCATAGGGACTAATGTCCAGTCATAACCACTCAACACCTGGGAGACAGCTTCACGAATGCAGACAGGGAATCTTTCATCCTCAGAATCATGCTCTTTTTTCACTTTTCCTTCTTCATCATCATCATCATCATCTGGGCCAGAGTGGGATTGGGAATGAGATGCCAAAGGTTCAGGTGTTAAGGAGGGGTCCTCAGACCCAACAGGGCTCATCTCAACTTCGGATAGACTCTGATCGTCACTCATGATGTGCCTCTCACCTGGAATAGTCAATCATAACATTGTTACGTTGCTTGCCTTCTAGATGGCCTATAACAATATAAAATACTTTCCAAAGCACAGACACGATATCTATTTTCCTTTCTTAGCATTTACACAACAGTAAAAAAGTTACACAAGCCAAAACCCTGCCAAGTTTCCATCAACAATGTTTACAAAATAATAAGGTACACTCTTCCCTAATATCTATATAAATCTGGCTCCTGTCCGGGTCAAAAGAAAGAATAATTGATCATCTCAGCGTGTGACAATTCAAACACAGACAATATAAAGATGTGCATTTTTAATCCTATTAGAAGTTTATACTGTAGCAAAAAATATAGTTGAGATTGTAAATATATTTTTTGGTACAGTAGTCAGGTCCCTGCAAACTATCTTTTTCAGTCATTTTAGTATAGGCGTCATAGTTAAAACTCGCTTATTTAAACAATCTCCAAATAAAATTACAAAGGGTATTGTCCAAGCTTTGCCTAGTCAGTGTAAGACTATTTCTTGTTAACCATAATCCCTAAATATTATGTTATTAGTAGCTGCATGCAACCAAATTAATGCGAAGTTAGCAAAAGCCATACAAATCCTTTCCTAAATAGATAATCTAAGCAGAGTAGAAGGATTTAACTAAATAAGTAATTTTATATTTCCTTTCTTTTACAACATGCAAATAACATATTCTACACATTCCCCTTATTTACTGCTCTGTTGAAGTAATACGTTTATTATGTTAATGTTTCTAGTTGAATGTTTACCACTTTTTTGGACAGAAAATACCTATTAAATTACCAGATATTAAGCTGTCTACCAATAACTTTCACCATCTAGAAATGTGTATAGATTTAGTTACTGATTTGTTTTATATAAGCCATGCTGACCTGTTCCAAAATGATAATGCTACTAGGTGAAATTATTTACAGAATTATAATGGAGCGGTCTAAGGTTATTCATATGCTGTTTTTCTATAGTGTTATTCATATGCTGTTTTGCTATATTGTATAGGAACAATAGTTTATCTACAGAATATAGCAGAACTATTGTAGTAGTTTAAAAGTAATTATAATAGAAATGTTGGTGCATTTAAAGGAATCCTAGAATGATTGTATACAATTGCAGTATTATTGCTTCTCCTGGCTATGCAAATACTCATAAAGGTGCATTGAAATTAATATTGTTAACCAAGGCTCTATTAAAAAGAGATGAAAAGCTTACAAATTCACAGGTATAAGCAAATATTGTGATTATAATATAATATAATGTAATATAACACCTATTCAAATCATGTTAGAATTCTATAGCAAGGCACAAAGATAACATGCACCTGATAACTAATCTATCTATCTATCTATCTATCTATCTATCTATCTATCTATCTATCTATCTATCTATCTATCTATCAATTTAAAATTATTTCTTCCATTAACACTTTTATTGCCTTGCTATCAATTATAAATAATATTTCATAATCACTTATTAATGATTGATAAGCATAAGAGCTGTCCATGAGAGAGAGAGAGTTTTCTTTTTTAGCTGATTTAGTTGGCTTCACCAGTGCTTTGAGCACTAGTTGCTGCAATTTCCAATTTATATACAAATTCGTTTTGACTCTTCAGTGTTTTCGCACTATTGCTCAAACAACACAAGCCAAAAATTACCATAATGCGTTCATATTAATGATTTTAGGTGACTAGCCTACAAAATCAGTGCTGATCTCTCACTCAGTAAAGAAAAGTGGTTTACTTCAATAAATATTGTCATACCAGAAATATTTACATGTAAACACTTTTAAATCATATCTGAATTTAGAAATAACACAATGTATATAAAAATTCATAATAGACATATGAGAGAGGGAGGGAAAGTAATTCTAATTAAATGAGCTTTGTTCAGTCCTAAATTACAAAGTCGACTTTGTCTGTAATCTCTCATTTAAAGTAGTGCGGGCATTTTATATTCCATGGACTTGTCCATGTTATATACAGCATTGTTTGTAAGAGAATTAGATAACTGTATGTTCTAACACAAGAATCAACTCGCTGCATCTTGTCAGACCACAAAACTACTGCCAATCCTTGTAGCGGAATCAAAGCAATAACTATGTTTTCAATAGCATACAAAAAAGTGACAACTTTTTCAGAAGAAATCCATTTCAAATCATGGCAACACAAAACAATAGCTTTTCAACACATATTTGTATTTCTAAATATTAAACTTTCAGTAAAAAAAAAATGTCAGTGTTTTGATGAAAGGAGATTAATATTTATCCAAATTGTCTAAACTAGTTATGTGTCCCAAACCACTGAACAAAAAGTAGACCTATAGGCATCAAACTAATATAACTCTATAAAATATATTTTGTCTATCTGTTTCCAAGAGGAGGGAGGGATGTGCAAAACTGAATATAGGAAATACAATTATAATAATTGCTAAATATAAAGTTACACGCATAGATAAAAGGAGGATAGCAATTAGAATATTTTTTGTGTTTAAAGGGAAAGAAGAATGTAGCTTTGGGGAAAAGACGTGAAATGAAAGCAATGATCCAGCTTTATCAAAGAAAGAAATTTAAAGGGTAAAACTGAAAAAGAATGAAAAAAAGAATCTAAAATGTCTCAATAATATTAATGAAAACTAGTAAAAAGTTACATTTGGGACCAAGCAATGGAGATGATAGTAAATGACAGTATTAATAATTTATAAGATGAAGAATTAAAAGTGAGTGGTCAGTAAAGATTTTGTAAATTGGACGAAGCTGGCTGAAATATAAATGAAATATAAAGTCGATAAAAAAGATAGCTAAGTTTGAAAGGACAAGTTATTTATATATCCTTTCCTAATATTGAAGTAAACAATTATAAAAATGTATAGAAATAATAGTAATAAAGTAAATGTCACATAAATGTAAGAATATTAATAGCGCATATAATTTAAAATACATTAAGGGAACATATGTAACAGCACTGAAGCCAGCTGTGATTTAAAATCATATACGGTGGTTTAAAGAGAGAGTAGAAAATGTGGCTGGAAGAGAGAGAGAGTTGAAGCAGGAAGAGTAGGAATGCAAAACGTACCTACTGAGTCTTGGTGGTAGGAGGTGTGCTGGCTCGATGCTGTGTCAGTAATAGAGGCTCTGTTCTCCTATCTGAATGATGCTCTGTTCGCTGCCCTGATCACTTCTCCCCATGCATTTAAGGCAAAGCTTTTCTCAAACAGTGCTTGGCCTCTCTAATTGGCTGCCACCAATGAAGGGGTGGAGACTAAGAGCGAGATGTACCTTTTCTGCCAAGAAAATGAAAACAAAAAATAAGAGATTCTACACTTTTTTAGGCAAGCAATAACATTTCTTGCACAGCTCTTTCTTGTGAAAATGGGTTAAATCTTAGTGAATCAAGATTTTTTAAAGTGGCAGATATGATGAACAATGTTCATGAGCCAATATATATGCTGCTTGAACAATATACATTTATTTTTTGTAAGGTTTGAACAAAAATCAATACACCCATGCCTGACCTAATGTATGCTCTGTTAAAAATTGCCTTCCAAATATCTGTGCATATAAACTACAGTAGATCATCATTTTACCTAGGAGCAACACTTAAGCCAATACTCAGGCTGGTAGCAGCACAGTGATATCCAAAGCACTGCCACTGCACGTCAGCTGAACTGTATCCACAACTAATCCAGAGTTACAGCTTTCACAACAGCTCTTTTATTCACTCCTAATCCAAACCTGATTCACTAATCCACAGATCTTATTCTCTGCCTTGGCACTATTTACTATGTAGTACAGAAGCACAACCTGGATATAAACATAAAAGCTTAGAGACATTTTACAGTGTGATGGATGGTGAACACTTTTGCCCACTATCTCCCGTCTGTACTGCTTCTCCCTGATTACGGATTTAAGCTAAAGTAACCTTAAAAATATTCTAGTTCTCCTTGTCTTTTAACCTATGTTTCTTCTGGGTTTCTCAGGCAGTGCCAGGCCTGAGCAATATACTCTGTGAGTGCAGATGTGTGATGTGTCTGTGTAGGTATGTTATGTAGGAGGAGAAAGCAGACAGAGGATGCCATGCATTGCCTTAGGGTCCCATGTCCTCGTACAAGCAAATGCTGGAACAGTGTGCAATTGTTGGTGCCCTTGTGTTAGAAAAAAAGAATTTTAACTGGCAATTGTGTTCCCAGGGGAGTTCAGTTATAAAGTCGCATATATATATATATACATAAACTACTAACAGCTACTAACACAAAATGCCATTGTCCCAAACACTCAGTAAGAAAGGAGGAGGGGAGTCAATACAGTTACATTTCAGGTAAGAACGGAAAAAAAACAGGCTCAACAGACTGACTGATCTGACAGCATTGACTGTGGCTATGAACGTTCTTAATAAAATTAAAAACATCCTGTGATCACAACAGACTTTACCAGTGAAGGAGAACCTAAGTGAGAGGAGAAGATAAAATATCATTATTTGCTTATTTTTTAATTACAACCACTGGCGTCCGATTGGTCTGATCTGATTTGCTGCTACTAGATCACATGGATATTACTGACAAGTTTGCTGGACATTTTGCAGGGACTTCAGTTTAAATATAGGAGGTTTGTCTAGATAATTTTGTAGATTTTGCTTATTTTGATTTCCAGCAGCTCTGCAATGATCTTCACCCCTCAAGTACCTGAGCTCCCTCCCTCCCCCTTTCAGAGACAACGTAGGCTTTTGTCCTAAGGGCAGGCCGCTTGCATATAGACCTTCCATTGTCCTGCCTTATTGGCGTAGCCAGGCTAGGGCAAAAGCCTGCACAATGAAATCTTACATACAGTAAAAAGGGGACATTAAAAAACTCTCCACAATAACTCTTGTGTTTAAAAAAAGGAGCAATGAAAGTTTGATAAGGGATACACAGGCCCCCCTCCTCTTCCTCTCCTCCCTCCCCGAGATTGAAAACACTGAATATCTTTCTAGGCCTGGCTCATGGGTCTTTTTTTTCTTGATTTTCGGCTTGTCTTTGTGTGTACGCTCTTTGTTCGTTCCAGGTGAACCGAAATCATGTGATATGAAAGGGGGACAGAGCTGCTTATTATAAAGAGTTTTTGGGCTCTGCCGAAGGCTGTCAGTGAGAAGATGCAGGCTTGGGGGAAACAGCTATCTGCCTGCAGGGGCCAGGTCTTCTGCCATCTAATGGTCCTATGTACATAGGGCATCTCTACATCTGGAGGGGACGAGCCCATTTATTATTATGGCATAAGTCTTGCAGGATAAGCATCTTGTCAGATATGGAGACCCTGTCGAACCATTGGAAAGTTTTGTGGAGTATGGTTTGTCCATTGGAATTGTCCTCATTTATGCAATCTACTGGGATAGAAAGGACTTGGCACCTGGATTGTGCGGGAATGAAGCATCATTCATTTCTCTTGGGTTTTTTTGTGTATTGGATATATAAACCTTTACAATATTGTTGTGCGCATATTCAAGATCAGAAAAAATGGGCAGTCTACAATTTGGAAATTGTGTTTTTTTTTGGACTCCAACAAGCTGAGACAGGTGAAAAGGCATCCATATTTTCGAGAGCATCAAGGCTGCAGGGGGTGGGTTGGCTGAAAAGTACTTCTGTCTTCAAATGAACCTGGTTGGTTCACATTATTCAGACTGCTAAAATGGGCTCCATAATCTAAGCGGTTTCCAGAGACCCTGCATGTCACCACTATGGGAGGAGCTTTGCAAGTCAGATATGCAGGGGTTTATAACTTATGTGTAGATTTATTAGTGTTTTCTTTGTAGCAGCCGTCTGCCCAAGAGTCTGTTATCACTCTTTTCCGTAGTAAAGATCACATATGTACTGTTTATAATGAACTCTCCCAAGGCTTAAGCTATGGGAAAAGTACTGGGGCAAAAGTATCCAAAATGAATGAAAGAAAAGGCGCTGCATTGCACGTAGTAGCCAATGAGGTGTTAGTTTTCTCATCTGAAAAAGCAAAATGACAACTGGAATTGATTGTTTGTTATTAGTTCACTTGTTTTCTTTCATAGAGTTTAAATGCTGTTTATTTACTAAAAAATTGGAAAATGTTTACCTTGATTACCCAATCATGTGCAAGTGAAATTTAAAAACACAGGATTTTTCTTTGCACATGATTGGATGACTGAAATAAAAACAGCAGCACCTTATTCACTAACAATACAAAGTGAACATTCTCTATTCCTTTACTAACTCAACTCCAAGTAACTGAATAACACCTCCAATAATGGTAGGCTAGCATACATTAGCTGTAATTAGCATTCACAGGATAATTTAAATTGGATGTTTGTTTTCAGCTAGACAGTGACACAAGAAACAAGGACTCGTTGCCCTTTTTTGATCGTACATCTGTTGTAGTGTTAGGATTCAGCCAATAGATGTTAACATAGAGGGGTTAATTAATTAACTTGTCTCCCTGCTGAATTCTTCGGCAGTATTGTTCCTGGAGATGACAGTCTATAATCTAGTCCTATTTAATCAGTCTGTGATCAAAGGTATAATCGTTTATGGACTGAAGCAGAGCTCCCAAACTTTCAGTGCACCTGCTTTGTAACCTTTTCAGTGCCGTCATACATCTCACATTACTGCAGTATGTCATATGTTGAAATCTGAATGAAGTGATTGACTAAGGCTGATGTCAAATTAGTGCCTTTTTGTACTGTTTGTTATATTGAGAACAACCTTATTGTTTTTATAATTCATTGCAAAGTAAACTGCTAGCATACTGTTGGATGTGTATGCTAGCAGATTATGTGTTTTAAAAGTTGCATGCAGCCTTTCTCATCATCGTGCAAGAAAAAAAGAAATATATATATATATATAATATATACTACTGTTTAGTGCATCCCATAGGTGCCATTATTGGAGTCGTTGAGAGTGATTACAAGCAAATCCTTAGAGTAGCTGTGGTCAGTATTTAGTTGTACAGCAATGTGAGTGAAAATCATATATGTAACTGTCCTGTAAACAGATCCTAAATATCAGATAATGACTGTTCACCAGTAAAGCACCCAAGCTCTGTAATACCTTACACACTTCATAAATCCGTGAACATACTCACTCAGACATAACTATGATTGTGGAGCCTTACTTATCCAGTCACAGACATTTTAGATGACATTTTCCAATCTAGATTGTTTTCTCTCATACTTTTGTGTTTTAAGACAATTTTTTACCACCATTCCTAACTTAAGTTACCGTTAAATAATATCACTCATCCCGGCCAATCAGAATTAATCTTTCACAGATTAGTTTCTATTTGCATTAACATTTGAACTGCTTTACTACATCATGTTGATTCTGTCCAACTATCAAACATAAATGTCATAATCTCAGCTGTTAAAAAAGTTAGCCATTGTCTATAAAATGTTCAGATATGCCTAAATGCTATATTCAATAAATAATTTCACCTTTTTAAAGATAGTAAAGGGACACAGACATCACCTGTTTCAGTTAAAGCCTAAACTATTTCTCTAAAATATATTCTGTCCCTGTACTTACATGTCATGTGACTTTTTTTAAAGCACTGGGCAAATCAGACTTTAGGCAAAAAAAAGCCTAAATTATTTAATTAAAATATTTAAAAGGAGCTCCTTACTGCTAAAATGAAAAATGGCCTCATATTTCAATACAATAATAATATTCTCCTTATTTAGATCATATCGTATGCTTATGGCAATGCACATTCCTGAACATGTGATCAGATGAGACCCCGATTAGAGAGGAGGCCCGGATGTAGGGGAAACAATAATTTGCTTACCAATGTGCTTGTGTGAAAACATTTCAAATATAGTGAAAATGTTGACAATTTCAAACATTGGTTATCCAAGGTGTAAATAGGGATATGTGGGAACATCTATTGTATTTGAAAGAAACAACCTCATCAAAGAACAATGCCAACTCTTGTGTGGCCAGTTTGGAAGTAGCAATATACCCTTGAAAAGGAGGTTTTTCCCAAAGAAACTTTCCAGAAATTGGATTGTTTTTAACAATATAAATACATGTTTCAATCTGTCACTAAAGCTGGCCATACACCTATAGATTATCTGCAGATTTTCTATGGTCAGATGGAGAAAGTGCAACAGATACCTCCATAAACTGTGTAGATGGAGGGATCTCCTGCTGGGCCAAGCTTCAGTATCTTTCTAGTCGATGGCTCTCAAAATACTTGAATAATCTGAATGGA